CAATACACTTAATTTCCACAGTCACTTTAACTTAAACACACGCTATAATTCACAACAATTCACTCACTTTACTATCGCGCCTGACTTACTTGTCCGTCTCTATCTCCGCCTGTCAGCAACTATAGTTCCGATCTCTGAATCTGCTATCCTCGGTTCCCACCGACCGTAACTGCTGTCCTTGGTTCCACACACTCTCTCTCCCTTGTCTCCTTTGTCTAGTTCACTTATATACGATAATAGCGCCCGTGTAGCCTATTCGAGAATCTTCTAGACACTCATCGCGTGCTACCAACGTCACTTGACTTCCGCTGTAGTAACACAAACGCGTGCATAGCACGCACTAGCGTTTTTCGCGAATCTTCTAGATAATCATTACGTGTTACCAATGTCAGGTGAGTTCCGCTGTAGTAACACTGCCCCTTCCTTAGTATTGTTCATCCCGAACAGTAGTCATTTAAATTAAACCAACAGATAATTAACAATAACTTAATTAAATATACATACTTTACAAACACTACAAACACTAAATTAAAATTCAACAAAGTCTCTTAATTTTATGGGATGTATCTTCTTCCGTACTAGTCTCCATCTCGTTGGCTTCTGCTTCACGTGGGGTTCATTTGCTCCATCAGAAAATGTCCTGTTATAAGTAACATTCACATCATCAAGGGCTTCAGTGTTTCCTTTTTCAAAACCGGGTAGAGTTTCTTCCTTGACAGTGGCTTTTTCAAGTGACAGGTCTTCTTTTGTTCCCCTGTTCAATTCATCCCAACTGAAATGTCCTGGATCATGATAACGCAAAAGCCTGCTGGCATGCACCACTTTTGGCTTACCTCACTGTCCAAATTTTATTCGGGAAGTCACGTCTGAGAGACAATCCACTATGTCATATGGGCCTTCCCATGGAGAAGACAACTTAGGAGACTTCCCTTTGGTCTTCCTAGGATTATAGAACCACACCTTGTCTCCTGGTACAAAGCTGACTTCAGTAGATCTCTTATCATAACAGAGCTTCATGGAATCAGCAGACGTTTTCAAGTTTCAACGCACTTGATGGTGAATATCATCCATCCTTTCCGATAACACTTTCACAAACTCTGACACATTTTCAGGCAATCCTTCATAAGGTGGGCATCCTGTTAACAGATCCACTGGCAACCGAAGTTTCCGACCAAATATCAACTTTGTTGGAGCGTATCCAGTGGTTTCATGCTCTGCTGTCCTATAGGCCATCAACAGTGGAGGGAGTAAGACATCC